AACATCCACATGAAAATAGCATTACAGGAGTAAGACAAAGCTGCCTTTTATTAATGATGATATTCGTAATTGTGGTCAACTGGATTACGCCTCAAACTGTGAGTGACAGTGAGAAGACCATTGGAATGCGTTGGACCGATAAGAAGATTCTAGAAGATATGGATTTTGTGCGTGAATGATTTTTGTTTAATGTCAGACAAACTCGAAGACTTGCAGATAGGCGAAAACTAGAAAAAGCTGGCAGGCAGCGAAAACAGGACTCCAAGTGAACATAGAGAAGACGGAGTTGATGAAGACAGCCAACCAACAACAACAAACACTACCAGTGGAAGAAATCTGGAGGAGGTCACTTGCTTCACTCATCTAGAAAGCATCGTTTCAACTACAGGTGACAGAACGGATGAGGATGGCAAAGCAGATCCTCATCAGTGTGAATCCAGTTTGAAAATCTTCTTCATTTAGCTCGAAAAACGAAGTTTGAATTTTAAACACTTATGTTAAGTCAATTCCTGTATCTAGTTCAGAAACTTGTACTGAACGTTACGAAACACATTTCCAAGAGCCAGCTGCAGACGTTAATCAACAGCTGTCTTCGCCTGATGATACTTGAGGTCAGATGGCCAGAAAGAATTGGTGACAAGAAACTGTGGGAGCAAACCAACAGGAGAGAAAGGATTACTCAACTAATATATGGAAGAAATTGGATATACATTAGGCATACGCTGAGGAGACCGTTGGATGACATCGCCTGCCAGGCCATTGCTCGAGTGGAACCTGAGTGGGAAACGATGAGTGGATCGTCTGAGGGTGGCATGGAGGAAGTCGTATGAGGAGGAGATGGGACACTACGGGCGAAAGTGGGGCCACCTTGAGAGGGCCCTAGAAAATAGGAGAAAATAAAGATATCATGTTAAAGCCCTATGTTTCACTTGGAACCCAAAGGAACAATAATAATACGGTTTCTTTGTACAGCTTTAGGTTTTCTTTTGATTTCTACATGAGAAATCTAAGGAATAAACTTTGTTATAATAGTCATATATATATTAAACTGGTGGATGGGGACTAGCAGTGGAACCCAGGAAGACGTGCACTTCACCCTATTTGGGACTCGTAAGCTGGATGTACCTGCATTTCCTAGTGAGCGAGCGATGGTGTTCCCACCGAGACTCGAACTCAGTGCCCATAGTTTCAAACGCCAAAGCGTTATCCACTAGACCACTTGTGCCATGAGAGTTAGCCACCTCTTGTGCAACGGGTGATATTAATTATTTACTGGAATTTTAGATTTTCGCGTCGATTGAATGATTGGACCGAAGTGCTCGGTCTCAGGTTGACACGGCTTCTCGTGCAGATGCTTTGACGATGTCTGAGCATGTAAGGTACATCGTCTGACAAGTCCAAAATAGGACGAAATGCGCGTTTTCCTGGATTCCACTGCTAGTCGCCATCCACCAACTGAATTCTAATTACATGCCCAGACATCATCGAAGCATGTGCACAAGAAGCCGACATGTCAACCTGAGACCGAACACTTCGGTCCAATCAGTCGACGGGAAAATCTAAAATTCAATTAAATATGTATATTCTTACTACCGTTTACTGGTAAGTCTTCTAGATCTAATGAAGGTAATATAAACTGCGTTAACTAAGAGATAAGCAAATTTATTGTAGTCTTCTGAAATTTTTAAAAATTTTTATTTCTTCACGTTCCTTGTGGAAAATAAGGCTTCAAGCCTCACGTCCAGGCTTTCCTTTTTTCGGGTCTTACTTTCGGTAGTAAACTAGACAAGGTTTAGGAGTCGGTTAGCTGGGAATCGAACCCGGAGAGCGACCACTAATTAAATCATTCAGTTTTTTACTAAACAGCCTATTTTGTGTTGTATTTTCAATATCTGGAGTTTAATGGCTACAGATAGAGAAGAGGTCCAAGGGGATGAATAGTGACTAGATACAGGGAGAATTTGTCTGAATTTCTAGTGAAAAGTCAAGACTAGTGACGTTCACCAGGGCGGATGTGAGGACAAAATACTCGCAGATGGCATTGACTAGTGGTCGTACTAAAATCGCTAAGTGAGAGTTAGCTGAAATTCATGGGTTGGGCATGGGATTCAGTCTCAGGGGCTGAATGATCAATGAGTTTGCCATGGTAACCTGAAGGTCCAATTTTCCATCTCCAATAGGGTCACAGGAGTGTACTTTCAAAGATTCCGAAAGTGGAATCAAATGTATTACTAATATAATCTCAGATAAGTTGTTCTTTGAAATATATGTAAGTTATACCCAGTATTACGAAGTTTATATGCTATGTAGATTCCGATTTCAAAAGTTAAAATTGAATAATTTTTTAACTAGACTCATATATTACTCAATTAATACTTAGTTACAAAAATAGTAAAAAGAATACGCTTTATGTGCATCTGTGGTTGAATGGTGGAATGCTCGACGACCACGTCCGTCATCGACGTTTCATTGCTGGTCGATGCACTGCTACAAACTTCGCCTAGTTCACTAGCTCAGAGTAAGTGTGAAAAAGAAGGAAGCTTGGATGTCAGACTGGCAGTTCAACTGTTCTAAAAAAAATAATGACACTACTGGAACTCCAAAAAGATTTTGATATAGTTGTGTTCTCTGAGCTAGCTGGATGGTTTATTTGCGAATCTTTCATTATTGCCCTACTACTAGGCAACAACTTCAGAGCATACACTACAATTTGAAGGAAGTGAGCTTTTAGGTTTATCCAGGAGTTTATTAGTCATCTCTCGTGGTGACCACCTTGAGCGTGACTGGTTGCTTTTGTTTGTTTTCACACCCTCTAGGCTACTTGTATTGGTACTGATTGTTTCCTTGACCTGAAGTTTGACTCTTTGTATGTGAGATTTTCTTCTTATCGACTGGTAAATTTTGTCTATTTCAAAGTGCCGAATAATTGACGATTCACTGAAGCATTCTTAGTGTTTCCTCTGTCTAATATTTGAACGTTGGTTGTCCCAGTCAAATTCATGTCCATGATATGAGGGAGGTAGTGGATATCATGTCTTTTGATGGCTAGTTTGTGATCATGGATACGAAGACGAAGAGGACGTCCACTTTGGCCAGTGTAGTGTTTTTCTCAGTCGTTGCAACTTATTTCGTAGACGATGTTGGTTTCATCTTCCTTCACTGTTGAGTCTTTTGGTTGACACAGAGCCACCAGCTGAGTGAAGTGATTTTGTTGGTTTGTGTGCGACGTCAATTCCTAAAGGTTTGAGGACTCCTGAAGTGGTTTCTGAGATGTCCTTTATGTATGGTACAGTGTTGTGTTCACAACTACATCGAAATCATCCACCAAAGATTGAACATTGAAGTGTAATGTTCCTCTCAGAACTCCAGGAATGAAGAGGAACCTTTATAATAAAAAAATAAGTAGACTTCACGAATGGTTATTGTTAGGAAGAGGCAAAACATGCAATTATCAGGTCATCAGTCAAGTTATTATCGCGTTATTAACAAGTCGTTGACATGCAATTGTTCCTGCTTCTGACTGGACGCTTGCACAATTCAAACTCTCAACCGGATTGGTTGATTTCCAGTCTACCTTATTTTCGGTATAAATACAGTCAATTTTGTCATAATAAAGGAACCTGGTTTTACAGTTGATTCTCTTCGTGTTCTGCTTTACCAGTTAAGTGGGTACTGGTCAGTAGTTAAGCAGTGACCGCGTGACAAACGATCCAGCATCATAACAGTTATAGGGCCATTATTAAATGTAGACATAAAGCTTTATATACCGGAATAGTATAAATGCGGCTATCACACATTTCGTTAGATCAACAGACTGTAATGGAAACAGTTTACTTGATTGGTAATCAATTCTTTATTACTTCCTTTATGTTCCGAGTGGAATATAGGGCTTCAGGCTTCAGCTTTGGGGTTCCAGTAGCAGTGGGTTTTATTTTTTGAAAAAGAGAAGACGCTCAGCGTAGAGAATCTTTTCGACGGCGAATTCATTCACATAGCTGTACAATCGCATTTATACACAATTATTTGTGTGTGTGTACATGAGGTTTGTCAAGTTTTGATGATTAATCAAGTAATACAAGAATGATACAAAAATATAGAAACAAGATTAATTAGACAGTAACTAAAGTAAGACTGAGTTAGTTAGTAAGTTAGATGACGTAATAAAACTGACTAAAATATTTCAAATTAGGTCAGGATAGCAACAGAGGTAATTACAGGTAGAGACTAAGTAGAGGTGGGGCAGAGAATAATGCCATTTAAATAAGGACAAAAATTTAGCAAATAAATTGGAGGACGTAACATAAATGACAAGAAATTGTGCGTTGGTCAAGTCAGTAACAGTGGTAATGAGGTGTAGAAATTAAATTGGGTGGAGGTAGACAACACGAAAGTTGAAAATGTAAAATATTACAGTTGTAAAGACAAAATAATACTAATAAAGAGACAGAAAGAAATAAAATTTACCTGTCGGGTATTAAGACAGATTACGTCCCTTGCAAGTGCAGTGATTGAAAGAACTTCTTCTGAATGCAGAGTTCAGGACTTAGCAAGTGAATTGCCATTGCTTCAGCAGTTTGAAGAAGTCTGATTCGTACACCTTTAGGAATACTGCTTCGTATTCTTTAGACGACTTTGAAGTTCGTGTGCGGTGTAGCTTGGTGTCCGGAATCTATCAGGTGTCCTAAGAAAGAGCTGCGGGAGGCATGGTTTTTCTCCTTTGTAAAAGCATGTTGGTAAGTGTTCGGTGATACACTTGGATAGCGAACGTATTTTTACCGTGTAACGTTATTAGCCGCACTCTCGACCTTTCCACTCTGCAGCGCTTTCTACTGACTTAATGAGGTCTAAGAGGGCATCAGTCGGGGATCGAACCCCAGACCACATGGACGATCATCGGTGAACAGTCTACCGGTGTACCATTGACGCACACTTCCTACCTAAAGTATGTAGAATTTAATCTATTCAATTTATCTTCTTTTTTCTCTCTCTCTCACAAATAGGCAACAGACACGTGAACCATCGCTACTGGTCAATCGAAATCAATCACAGTTGTCGTCAACACCAAAAACATCACACAGTACTACTCCTCTTCAGTCTACACAATATCCTAAGACGCTTGTCGACGGTTATTCTTCTGTACAAAAGAAGCTCTTTCCTCCGAATTGTCAACAAGAGTTTGTATTGCATAACAGACATCATAGTAATAATCATAATAATATTAATAGTAACAGTACTAATCATCACAATGCATGTAGTAATAGTAATAACAATCAATCAGAACATCCACATTATCCTAATCATCGTTAATCAATCAAATAATCGATTATACAGAAGTCTGATTAGTCCTATAATATGTCTTTCTTACGTTTTTTAAAAACTTTGTATATGTATATACATTGATTGTACTTAAAGTTTTGAAAAAGAGCAAACTAACAGGAGCTTTATTCAGACTAATAATGACTTGGCAACTAACTATGCTCCTATAAATGTATAGTGGTGATAACCACATACACACTCATGAAAACTAGCTCAAAGTGACTGTGACACTCACACCCACACGCACACAAGACACACACAACTCATTTGGACATATTAACTGCTCACAGATTGACTGACACCTACAAACTACCGAGTGACAGTCAGTCAGCTAAAGTTGTAGACGAAGGATCCAATGAAAGGAATGCCTGTGTTTGTCAGACTGCCCACAACGAGGTTGATGATCAGTTAAAATACACATGGATCAATAGAAAGCTGACAGAACAGTTGTACACCCTAGTCAGAGGCTAAGATGACCAGAATTTTGTTACACACGAGATAGTGAGTGGATGAAGCATGGACTATGTGAGCTACTGACTGTAGTCTGTGTGATAAAAAGGTCGATTTGTTTCCAATTATTACACTTGCTTATTGAGTATATTGCCTTTGAAATGATGATATATATATATGTATTATATGTAAATTGTAAAGTATTTTGTATGTATCAAAAGTTGTTTGTTTTGTTTCTTTCTATGTTGTAATAATTAAATGAATTCCCTTTGGTTACAAAATTTTCAACCATCTTCACTCATAAATTGGCCAAATTAATTCACCCTTCTTATCTCTCTCTCTCTTCTATCATGATTATTTCTTCAGAAATGCAAGATTATCATAAATAAATCAAAGCTCATAAAAAATTTTTTTGAAATATTCCATTTTAGTTGGCTTTTGTTTCCCTTGTTTTGTAGGTATGTCATTGAGTTTTTGTCACTATCACCATCCTCAAGTCTTAGATGAACTTGTAACAACAGAAGACAAAGGCTAGGCAACAGGTCGTTTACTGAGAAAATCAACAGATATTTATACGTTTTTATGTACATTATTATCAGCGTTATTGTTAGCAGAGAAACAGCGTCTTCTGATTGGTTGTTTTCCTGCTGTAGGTTATTCTGTCATCTCTTTATGACCATTTCTTCGAAGGTCAGACCAGATATCTGCTAATTGTATCCGCCCATGCAAAGTCTGCTGTGATTGGTTGCTGAGTTAGTGTTTGTTCTTGTTTTTTTTTCTCATGACCCTGATTAGGGACGTGTACATTGATGGAAATTGCTGTCTACCGATTTTGGCTAGCAGACAGCTCTCATCACAATAGTACATCCTATAAGAAATTCGTTACCTAGATTTACCTACATCCACAGTGAGTACTGATTTTTACGCTCAGGATTGACCCCAACAGCCATCTTTTCAAACCTCAAGGAATTATCCGCTAAGCCAATGAAACACGAGAGTCACCTCTTTTACAACGGGTATCAGTCGCTAATTCGTCCAAGTGAATTTCGACATTCCACTGATTATCTATACTGAGTTTTTTTATTCCTTTACGTTCCCAGTGGAACATAGGGCTTCAAGCTACAGGCTTGAAGTTTTGGTGGCAACGGTGTTTATTTTTAGGGGATGGGGTTGCTAGCCTCATGCCCAACCTTTCCTGTTCACCAATCTTATTACTGGCTTAGAGAGGTAAAGGAGTTCGTCGGCCGGGAGTCAAGCTCTGGACACATGCGTGGTTGGCGAGCATTCTGCCGCTGTGCCACAGACGTATAATCTACGCTGAGTGGAAATGCGCATCCTGGACCCCCTTGTTGTAATCACCATCAACCAAAATAGCTTCATATTAACCCTTAGACATTGTCGAAGCGTCGATACTTGGGTGCGGTTGGTCAAAGGAGACAAGGCACTTAGGTTCAACATCACCAAACAAAGGTGACTGCACAGAAAGAATTAAAAAGATCAGAAGGCGATAGTTTAAACATAAGCGTTAGACACAAACTACCACATTCTAACAGGTACTTCGGTTTCACTTCTACTCATCCCAGATGTTTTATGGTAGTCTTGATAAAGTGTCTATGCAGTTGAGTGCAGAATGTACTTACTAGTTCAAAACAATGAAACTGAGAATTACAACACATTAAATAAACTTTTTCTGTCTCCTTTTCTTTCTGAGTGGAACTCAGAGCTTCAAGCTTAGTAGTAGTAGCTTTGTTTTTCAATAGGGTGAATCTGCTAGCCTCATGCCCGACTTCCCTTCTTTTCTGCGTTTACCATTGGCTAGGAAGCTAAGCTAGGTTTAGAAGTGCGATGATCAGGAATCATACCAGGTCCTTCCAGGTGACTAGCAAGCATTCTACCATTGGATCATCAACGCACCTTAACTTTGGTAATAAGAGGAGAACTGGAATTTCCAGCGTGATATGATCGCTCACAGAGAGGTACTACTGCTCAATATTGTTTTCTTTATGAATTTCGCTTAAGAGCCAAACAATGTAGTAACTGATAACTGTGGCACTAGTGAGACAGAATTCAAGCTCTCTTTAATGTTTTCACATAAATAAGGGATATGAAAATGCTTATATAGAATTTTGAACAAATGGTATATATATATATATATATTATTGAATCACTGTGTAATAAAAATGAATTCGCTTCTGACGGATCAGACGAAATTCCATAAGCTTAAAAACCCAACAGATTTAGGCGGAAAAGCTGAAAAGCAGCTTTAGGAGACAAGCGAAAGTGTAGTGATCTCAGAGGCAGCCTACAACCATCTTAAACCTACTGGAAGTAATACTTCATGACCGTACGGTTTATCCAAAGTACATAAACCGTGACTTCCTCTTCGCCCAATCCTAGACATGTATAATTCAACCTACCATGGAGTGGTAAAGTGGCTAGGTGAACTCCGCCATACACAAGAAGGTGGTTAATCAAAGTGTTAAAGACGGTTTTGAATTCATTGCTAACTCAGATGATATCAATGTAAATGAGAAGTAAATGGTATCCTTAGATGTCGTATCACTGTTCACCAATGTACCACTTATGGAGACTGTGGAATTCATATACCAACAGATACTAGGAAAACAGTTTGACATCGGAATTCCAGTTATTAGTCTGAAAGAGTTGCTTTTAAGATGTACTATGAATGTACACTTCACATTCAACAACCTTTATTACAGAAAAATCAACGGCATTGCCATGGGTTCTCTATTGGGGTCAATTTTGGCAGATTTCTTTCTTGCTAACTTGAAAATGATCCATTGAGACAAGTAATAGACAAAACTGATTCTTATTTTCGTTATGTTGATGATACGTTTATTATTCTTGATGTGAAAGCTGACAAGAATGAAATGTTAGTAAAATTTAATGATGCACATCCATCGCTCATTTTCACTTGTGAAGAAGAAGAACATGATGGTAGACTACACTTCCTTGATGTTCACTTGATCAGAAGAGAGGATGGTTCACTCAAGAGAAATACCTATAGAAAACCTAAATATGTAGAACAATATACACATTTACTCAGTTTCCTATCAATCCAATACAAAATCAATTTGGTCGAACGCCTCATGAATAGAGCAAGACGGATCTATCTGTACAGATGACTCCCTAGAAAATGAGTTAGGATACATCCAAAAAAATACGCTGGTTCAAATGGGTTACCCTAGTAGACTAAAAATTTTTTCAGTCCACTCTTGAATAAAATAATTATCCTAAAGCCTTCATAAAAAGATATTTAGAATGTGAAGATAAGGATGAATCAAAACCTATTCCGAAGAACTGGGTTAGTACAGCGGTGATTCCTTACCGCAAACAAACATCAGGTCAGCGAATCCTTAACGATCATGACATAAGAGTGTATTTTCGTACAACTAACACCTTACGCTCCTCATCACTGGTGAAGGTTACGGATAAAATAGAAGAAGAAAACCAACAGAATTGTGTGTACCAGACCAACTGTGTGGACTGTGACGCCGTACATGTAGGAGAAACTTTCAGACAGGTAAATATAAGTGTGGAAGAGCATTAACAATGTTCGAAGGTGGTTCCAAAGACCTCCGAAGACTTAAAGAAGCTAGAAAACAGATCAGTGATTGCACTGCATTCGATAGAAACGGGACATGAGTGAATCCAAAAAGTTTGAACAGATATGAAGGTGTGGTGTTAGCTGATGCATGGCAAGTCCTGATTAATAAATAAAAATGGATATGTATCACTAATTAATCATACCTGCTCAAAATTCTCGATTGTCTATATCTTTTTGTGGAGAGGCTAACAAATGTTTTATGACTGTTTACCCACACACACACATGCACCCACCATTGTCTACTGCAAATACACACATATATTTTCATATTCAGTTGTCTACGACCATGAACTTTTAGTCGAACGTAATCTGATGTTTAAAGTGTTTAACAAAAGTAGACTAAAGGTTTGGGGCGAAATTTTAATCACAGTTCAAACAATTTTGTTTATTATATATGCTGATACCTGTTTCATGACTCATATAATTGCATAAAGTTTTTAAGTACAAGAGATGTCCTTTCCTGCATATTAACCACTGTTATGTTAATTTGGATCAATTTCCCCGAAGAAGTTCGGACCAGATTGCTGAACGTAGGAAACGTTGAAATTACTCATTTGAATTTCGTTGAGATTTTACACAGATATAATTTTTACAAATGTTTCCTAAGAGTAGATTCTGCTGACAAATACGTCACCGTCTAATGAATGTTTTATCTTCAATAGCCCATTTTTCAGCCTTTACAGTTACATATACCCATATTAGTTAGAAAATAATTATTATTGACGTGACATTAACGTGTTATTTTAAATAAAAAACGAATACGAACTTGCCTTGTAACCGGAAGCTCCTGGGTTCGACCCCTGACAGTGAGTGAGTACTGCCGATGAGTCCCAAACAAGGATGAAACAGCTGTCCAGTGCCTCAGTTGTGGTTTTCAATGTTTCTCTAACTGATATCTATCCGTCATCAACTCGTAGAAACAAAACTAATCTTTAGAAACCAACTATAGAAAGTTAATCTGGTGCTCGCTTGTGACTTGTACAGGATGGAGTTCCCTGAAAATCTTTCTCGCGGGAAGTCGTTAACCAGTGAGTTTCATCCAGTCACATGGGAGGATGGATATCCCACCGACGACATTGGTTGGGGTCGCGCTAAATCACAAACAACGAATAGTTAAAAGGTCGAAATTCCAAGAGATTTATGCAAGCAGATTACAGTTCAAAGCATATGAATGTCAGACATCAACGCAACTGATCATGAATTGCAATGAATATATAACCAGAAAACATTTCTACCCTGGTCTTCTGTGAAATCTATAAGTCCACAATTACCTTTCAATTATATACCTGCAATCCTATAAATATATATATGATGGAGAAGAGATTTGTAGCTCGGGTGGTTGATTTTGATGTGGTTGTGTTCTATGAGCTAGCTGGATGGTTTATTTGCGAAGCTTTCATTGTTGCCCTACTAGGCAACATCTTCAGCGCACACACTTCAATTTGAAGGAAGTGAGCTTTTAGATTTCACAGCGAGTTTATTAGTCATCTCTCCTGGTGAGCTGAAAGGTGATTGGTTGCTCTTGACTGTTTTACATCTTCTAGGCTAATTGTGTTGGAATTGATTGTCTCCTTGACTTGAACTTTTACTCTTTGTTCGTGAAATTTCCTTCTTATCGATTGGTAAGTTTTGTCTATCTTGATGTATCTATTGATTGATGAT